CCCTCCCCCTCCAGAGCAACTCAATGTCGGAACGTTCCGAAGATGACGTCGGAGCGTTCTCGAATCCCGTGTCTCTCGGCTGCTGCTGCCGAAGGAACAGGGAAAAAGCAACAAGAAGGAAGAGCAATGGCGACACTGGATCGCAAAGTGCCCAGTCCGGAGGCGTTTCTGGGCAAACCCTGGTCCTCCTGGATCGACGCCGCCAAATTACACTGCTCCGACAGTAAGAACCCCACCGCCCCCCCTCCCTTTATTACCCTGCACCCTCCCCATTCACCCGGAGCCTCCGGGAAAAAGTGTGTGTGCGAGAGGGAGAGTGGCCCCCGGTGTCCTCCATGCTGCTCCCTCTCCCCCCCTCTCCCTCTAAATAAATACACGCGGAGGCAGAGCATCAGTGCACCGGAGGCCCGGCTTCCAGGGCTGGCTGGCTGGCTGTCTGCCTGCCGGTGCCCGGCTCCCCGTGGCAGCCCGCGGGGTGGGCTTTCGCAGCCCCACGGTGTGATCTGTTTAAAAGGCTACTCTGTTGCTGCTTGCATAGTTGGGTTTTTTTTTTTTTTTTGGTACCTATTTGGGCCAGGTAGATGTAAAATCCAGACTTGGGAGAAAACGTTACATTGTCAATTTTCGAAAGATTTTTCATCTACAATATTTAGATCGATGTGTTTGCAAATAAACACACTCTCCCTCCCCCCTTGACTTTGGCTTTTTCCCTCCCCCTCCCTCTTTTTTTTTTTCCTCATTTTCTTTTTTTTCCTCTTTTTCTTTTTTCATCTGCAGATGTAGATTTAGAAGAGGCTGGAAAAGAGGGTGGAAAAAGCAGGGAGGTTATGAGGCTTAATAAAGAAGGTAAGTGGAGCTCCTGGCATTTTAGTGTTAGCATGTGTGGCAGATCTTCACAGGGTTTGGAATATAATGTGAATTGTTCTGCTGGGTACAGAGTGACTAAGGCTTGTCAAAAATTGAGCACGCCCAGGTGACTACTGCTGCTACTCCTGTTAACTTCTTTCAAAGTCTAAATACAACTGGGGGGGAGGGGGGACTCAAGGGGGAGACTATGGAAGGCAGAAGTTTGCTGCACTTGAGTTGGAGTCCACATTTGAACCTCCTGATGTGAATCATTGCCAAATTGGGGAGGGGGGGTCTCTGAAATGAGGAGCAAGGGTCCCTTCAGCCTTCCAGTCTTCCCTATGGGAAAATGCACAACTGGTTTAATCAAGCCCACATGGTCAGTCATTCCTGATGCCACTTCTCAAACTCTCTCCAATTGGAAACCACTGGAGGTGACAAACCTATGCAACAAGAGACACTTTTCCCACTTGGTGCTGGGTCACCCATTGTCATGTAGTGACCAGGGTTAGGGGCATCTGGGTATATGGCCAGCCACACACCCCACTAGTTCATCCCCCTCCCCCCAATCTCTGTTTTCCCACTTGGAAATATGGTACCTGAAATTGGACACAGTGAATAGATAGATCATTCCAGATCTAGACATGTGAGTGAAGCTGTAGTCTGTTGGTGCTGGTTGTTGAACACACTTGGTTGTCATAAATAAATCCTGTCCTGGGTGTGTTTGCAAGCCTCCAAGGTTAACTCTGGCCTATGACTTCAAATGGAGCAACTCGGGAGGCCAGATGGATGGATGGGTTTGTTTGAATTGTCATATACTAACTGAGGTCTTAGATACATAATTGGCTCAACTTGGAGTGCAAAGGGGCAGAAGAAATGGGTGGGAGGTATATCCAAAGTTCATATATCACTAGGCCACGGGAGCATGGTTCACCCAACAGTGGATGGATATAGTCCCCCTTCTGAAAGGGGATGTTACCCCAAAAGCAGCGGAAACCTGCTTGGAAAAATGGAACCCATTTTTAGATTGACACCTACAGACATGTGGATTTCTTTTTTTTGGGGGGGAGGGTCCGGTCATGGGCCTGAACTCTGTCCCTCAGCTCTTCAGCTCAAGGCTAGGGCCCTACCACTTGAGCCACAGCACCACTTCCGGCATTTTTCCTTTTTGCTTATGTGGTGCTAGGGAATCGAACCCAGGGCCTCATGCATGCAAGGCAAGCACTGTACCACTGAGCCACCTTCCCAGCCCAGAGATGTGGATTTCTGTGTCCAGTGATTTCCTGACCATCCAGTGAGAGGAAAATCTGTACTTCAGAAAAAAATAACACAGAGGTTAAAATGCATATTCCAAGGAGAGCTCTTTAGCAGTGTTTCTGCTAATTAAGCACTTTGGGAACAAAACATTATTCTAAAGATGTTTGCTTCTCAGTATCTTAGTGTGATCTTGACGTGTGTTTAGGATGCACAGGGGAACGATATCAAGTGGACTTCTTACAAGTGGCGGCTTATTTGTGCTAAATGTCCATGGTGTTGGCCCTGGGAAGGTGGTTTTTCTCTGCTGACAAACTCTTGATATCTTTACAAGCTTGTAGGATTGAGTTATCACACCCTTCAGCTGTGTGTCCAAGGAAGACGATGAGGTTGTGAAAACCTTGAAGTTCAAGTTGAGTAAAGGTCATGGTACTGTGTGGCACAGAGCTGCCATCTTGTGGGTCAGGGGGGATGCATTATCTTGTAGTCATCTATAATACACACAACTCTTCCTCCACTTCTTTTTCACAAGGTCCTTGTTCTCAGATTCTCTTTGCCTCCTGAGAAATGGATTCTTCTAAGGAAAAAAAAGGAAAACTTCTCTCCTCTGAAGTCACAAATGGTACATCCTGCTTATTAGGTCCTTTGTCCTGTAAAGGTACAAAGATTTAGCTCCTAATTATATGCATTTGCATTCAGGATGCCTACTGTTCAAACCATGCAATCGCAGACTTCACCAAAATAGCAATGGATGGGCTTAATCTCTTCATTCCTGGTGGAGGAGCTTAGTGAACAGTTAGTTCTTGACGACCTGTCACATGTATGCACATGATTCATTTTTGCAGATCAGATATACATATACTTTATCCTGTGGTGAGGAACTTAGAGGATGAGACCCTATTTCAGTGTGCTTGGTGGTCTTAGGCTCACCATGGGCCTCCTCACTGGAGCTGGCTTGTGGAGGTTCTGGTGTCGACATGTGTTGGTAGATAGGTTACTGCAGGACACAGAGTGGCCTATGTGCTACTCAGTCTGTATGTATAAACGTACATGACTGACTATGGTGCTGTTGACAGTAAACGGGTCTTGAGAAATCTGGGCTTTCATTGGCAATGAATGCACGAAATACAGTTTAGGAATTCTAGTTGAGAAACAAAGGGTTGTATTTTTGAGATAAAATACACTTAACCTGAAATTCACTACATTATTTCTGAGAGTACATTTCAGTGGTTGTAGGTACATTTAGTGTTATACAGCCATCATCACTATCAATTTCCCAACATTTTCAATATTCCTATCAGAAACTCTCTGCTCATTATACAATAACTTCCTATTTTCCCCTTCTCCTTAGTCCTAGCGTCCTAGTTTACCTGTCATTATAAAGGTGCTTCTTCTAGATGCCTCATCATAGTAATGGAATCATACAATTTTGTCCTTTTTGGCTTCTTCCATTTGGAAGATATTTTCAAGGTTCGTCCATGTTGTAGCATGTACGAGCACTTCATTCCTTTCAAGGCTGAATAACATTCCATACTATATATACTACATTCTATTTATCCATTTATCTGTTGATGGACATTTGAGTTATTTCCATTTTTCCTCTAGTGTGCTGCTGTGAACATTGGTGTAACATGCTATTTTTTTTTTAGACCAAACTCAGGAAGGGAAGTTAGTCTGGAAATGTGAAATAAGAGTCATTTACCTTCTACCTCTCTAGCCACAATTCCAGAAGACAGAGCAAGCAATTGGATTTTTTTGGGGGGTGTGTATATGCCAGTTCTAGGTTTGAACTCAGGGCCTGTTTTGTACTTGAGCTTCTTTGCTCAAGGCTAGTATTTTATCACTTGAGCCACAGGTCCACTTCTGGCTTTTTGGTGGTTAATTGGAGACAAGATCTCACAGATTTTCCTGCCCAGGCTGGCCTCAGCCATGATTCCCAGATCTCAGGCTCCTGAGTAGCTAGGATTACAGACATGAGCCCAGCTGGTTTTTGTGAATAACTTGTTTCTTTCCCATTCCTATCTTTGATTCAGGTTTCCACCTGTATCAAGGTGAAATGTTAGTTGAATTATTTGAAATCTCCACAATAAATTCTTCTCATCAATAGTATCATCCCATCCAAAATTACCTATAATTATGGTCAAGAAGAATTTAGCAAATACATTTGGGTCTTGCCCAATCAGCACCTCATTTCCAAGCTGAGGCTAATTCCATTCTGAGATATACTTACAAGGATTCTATCCAGAGCAGCCTGGTAAAGAGACAGTCTAGTGTTCACTTGCTGAATGGTGGTGTGTACCCTGGGTAGCATTTCCCCATCTCTGGGTCTGTGCTCCTATCTGTTAAGTAAGAAGGCAGGACTGTCCTCCACTGTCCCTCGACCTATGCCCCATTGTTGGACATACCTACCTTTGAGAGATGCAGTTAGACCAGACACGCTGTTTCTAAGCAAACTTTAAAAGTAAAGCAAGCCATCACATTTAAAAGACCTTAAAACACTTCAGAAATATTGAGAATACCGGGTATGTTTTTCTCCATTTTTGACTTCTTAGTGGCAAAAATGACAGCACCTCATACACAAGTTCACATACAAATAGCTGTGAACCCTTTTGGCCCCCAGAAAATGAGGGTCTGGGGCTGGGATGTAGCTCAGTGGCAAAGCGCTTGCCTAGCAAGTGCAACGTCCTGGGTTCGATCCCCAGTACCAAAAAAGAAAAGACAAAAAAAAAATACAGTTAAAAAAAAAAAAGAAAATGAGGGTCCGAGTGTGAAACTCAGTGTAACATATTTCCTCTAGTAGGGAGGATGTTGACCTCAGTTGGCCTGAATCAGTGAAGATGTCAGCTTTCTTAAGAGGAGGGTCCTAGTGACCTTGGTACCTAATCAGACCTGTGGCTATGGTAGGAAAGTCCATGCTAGGTCATTCTTCTGACTTTTCAAGATCTCTCTCTTCCTCTCTTTCTCCCTTGCCTCCTTCCCCTTCTCTTTTTCTCTCTTCATGCAAATTGAGAGAAACCTTTCTGATTTAGAGAAGATGTTTTTCATTTCTAATTTCATCATCCAAACTTTTTGAAAGAGATGCCTGTTTATGATTCATATGGCTTGAAAGTGACCTTGACTGTAAGAGCTAATAGGGCTACTGTGGGGATTCACGGAGATAACACAGAAGGGCTTAGCATGTAGTATATGCCTACAGAATGTTTGCTTTTGTCCCTTTTTATTGTTGTTATGACTGTCACCATCATTTATTAATGAAGCTAGTTGTAGAAAACTTTATTATTCTAATTAACTTGGATTTTTAACTAATCTGTGATGAAGGGAAAACATATGCTGTATCAGGAACTCCATTTTTAGAGCCAAGCATTTTGTCACAATTTTATAAAGCTAATGATTTTTTTTTAGAACAAAGATTTCTTTGGACATTACAGTTTTTAATGGTGTGTAACTAGTAAGTGGCCCTTGGTAAGTCTTATTTAGACCCGAAGAAAAGTACTTTGGGCTAAGTAGAGGCCTACAAAGTTGTTTTTTTTGTCCTCCTCCTAGGTACTAGGAGATCTAAAAATAATTGTGTGTGTGTGTGTGTGTACATGTGTGTGCAACATATGCCTGTGTATGTGTGTGTGTGTACACGTGTGTGCAGCATACGCCATTACTTGAGCTTGGACTCAGGGCCTCTGCTTTTTCACTCAAGTCTGGCATTTCACCAGTTGAGCTACAGCGCCACTTCCAGCTTTTTGGTGGTTTTA